CACACACACACACACACACACACACACACACACACACACACACACACCGAGGCAGACACACACCCAGAGGTTGGCACACTGCATATACAGAAACTCATGAACAGGCTTAATAAAACTGCACCTTGTATTAATATGCAACTTTTCCTTTGTAATGTAGGAGCACTCTTTGTCATGCATGCAAACTCTTACCTGTAATGGATTGCACATCACCAGCAACATCTGGATACATCTGGAAAATGTGGAAACAGCTGAATTTAGAAATATGTAAGCAACATTGAACGTTGGAAGAGTTATGTGTGACACCATCATTTCCATCTTTCTTCTCTGCCATTCTTTCTGTTCAACATGTCTTTTCCTTATTGGGTGATTACTCACATTGCTGGGTGTGTGTGGCTGGCACAGAGACATGACATGCAGACAGGCAAGCAGATGTCGAGGGATCGGCAGACAGACAACACCCAGAGCAGTGTTTATTGTTACGCTACCAGTCTTCAGTCCAAACTCACTTACTGACCCGTTCATGACTTTCGCCACACCAAAATCTGGCCTCCAAATGACCTCATTGGACCGTGGCAAAATGGCAAACATGCCGAGACAACTAGAACATGTTTTGATTTGGACATCTAAGGGACTGGGCTGGCGTATTTGGCAGCTCTGTGTATGTAGACAGCTGGGCTGAACTACAGGTGTATGCTAAGCTGTGATGTGGCTTTGGAGAGCAGAATGTGGTCACATTTAGAATTGCTATGAATAAGTGACATGAGCTACCAAAACGTGTGGAAAGATTATTTATGGGGATTGGTTAGGAATAATCATGATGATGTAGCATGAACAAACTTTTCTGTATTATTTCTTATTACTTACTTATCCTTCTGATCTGGATCTTCAGAGACATTTATGATGGAAACAGCTGGTTACAGTTACAATAAAAAAATGCTCACTTTATCACATTGCTTAATTGAAGTTTAGACCTTGACCTTGAATGCATCATGTTATTGACAGCTTTAGTAAGGGAGTGATTGTGTTGCGCAAAATCTACTCTGGCAGTCCTTGAACTGTTCTGAATTAGTGGCTGAAGACATGATGAAGTTCAGAACCAAGTGTGTGGGCTGAAAAGCAATTCTACGAATTTTGTCTTTCCCCACCTCATCTTCTATCTCTCTGCATGCCTCTTCTCTCTCTCTCTCTCTCTCCACTCGTATTCTCTGACTTGTTGTCCTTGCTATCTCTTCTCTACTGGATCTCTCTCTCTCCCTGTCTTTCTGTTCACTTTACCTTTCTCCTATCTTTCCCTGCCTCCCATCTTCCTTTATGTTTGGGGTTAGCAGGGTGACTCCTCCACACTGTCATGGGCATGCACACAGATGTGCAGATGTGTGCAGGCTGTATGTGTGCGTACAGGAGGAGCAGGCAGCTGACAGCTGGGCCAAAGCTAAGACATACACACTGCTGAGAGAGGGAGATAGCGAAGAGAAGAGAGAGATAAACTGGGAGATACACAAAGGGATAGGGAGAAGGAAGGTGATGTCAGAATAAATAGAGGGGAGATGAAGCAAGAGAAGGCTGACAGATAATAAGAGAGGAGAGAGATAAAATCAGAAAGAAGATGCACAGATGTGAGAAGGAGAGGGTGAAAAAGGCTACGGTTACATTTTGTAGGAGAAAAAGTGCCAAAATGAGAGACAGAAGTGTAACCACAGAGTGTGGCCTGGCGTGAGAAGTAGACAAAAAGATAAATAATTGGAATGAAAGAAGAGGGGGGTTCAACTCAAGCACATCATAACACATGTCACTGCCTCCTGACTAACACACACATATACATATGCTTCCTCTCTCTTTCCTCCTCTATCTCAACATTTATTTCCCATAGCTGGTGTGTTGGCCCCTGAGTCGTTGTTATAGATGGAGATAACCTGGGTAATGCAGCATATTGGCCCTCACATTTTGCCTGCGCAGCCAAAAAAACCTGAGCGCCTGTGCATTGTGAGGACTCTCAGCTGTTAAAACACCACGGCTGCACTGCTGCCGAGGACACTGCAGGAAAAGTGCCTCGGCACTGGATTCCCTCACTCCCACAAAAACCACAGACACTCCATATTATGCCAGCCACAGAGAGAAGGAGAGAGGAAAGAAGGAGACAGGATCAACCGGGGGGTGGGGGAGGGATGAGAAAACGAGAAAATAAGAGAGTGCCGAATAAAAGTCGAGTAAAGTAAAGACAGAAGGAGGTATGGAGAGAGGGAAAGCCCGGTGCGTCTTGGCCGGCTTCCAAAACAAGCAAGGGTCTGACATCATAAACCTGCGTCCCAGCAGATCTACCATATGGAGTCTGCGGTTAGACTAGCAGGCCTCAGTACCGAGGACTGGGCAGCAGCGTGGAGCGAGAGCGGTCGGCCTGGTGGGACTCAGCACAGAGCAGTGGTTTCAGCTGTGTGTAGCAGTGGTTAGCGTGGTAGGCCAACACTGGAGCAGTGGGCTTCGGCACAGTGCAAGAGTTTCAGATGTTCAGCAGTGGGCCATGGTGAAGAATGGTGGTTAGGCGAGAAGGAGTGTGAGTGGTATCAGCAGTAATAGAGCCTATGGTGGAGCAATTGTTAGAGAGGCGGAGGGCCTCGACAGGGAGCTGAGCAATAACAGGTTGTTGTGGCATAAGGCCCTTGGCTTGAAAACTTTCAGTATGATCACGTTGGTAAAACAGCATGGATGAAGTGAAGAGGCTGTGGTAAAACTGAAGAAAACTGCAAGAAGGAAATGAATATAAAGATGGTTGACTCTGAAAGACCTAAACTAAAACCAGCAGACTAAACAGTAAGACTGCTCCTCCTCGGATACTGCCAGGGGCGCCATCATTCAACGGTTATTAATATATACTTTTTTATCTGAGCAAGTATCTGTGGAAAAATGGGGTATAAGCAAGACAGGAAGACAGATGTAGGCAGTGAGGTGGTTAAGTGGAGAGAGTGTGAGGGAGACACAGACGAAGAGAGAGAAAGTCAGGCAGACACCAGCAGCACACACCCTGTCCAGGTTGTGTGAGGAATGAGAAGTATCTGGAGATGACTGCCATCTGGGAGAAGTACAGCCGACACAAAGAAAGAAAAATAAATCCCTTGGCTTTTAACAAGACACACCTCAAATGGGCAAACTCAAGCCCCCTGAGTCTGTATCCTCCTCCCTTAGATTTGCTCTTGGCACTTTATCATTTTCCTATCCCACTAGATAAAGCCGGTGTTATTTGACTCAACTTCAGAAATATTTTCAATAGGGGGAAAAAAAGCATTTTCTTGGCGATGGGAAAATGCCTTTTTCTAATTCAGTTTGGCCATCCCTGAAGTAAGTGCAGATGGTGATGGAGATGTTTATGGCAGCTTTTATGAGTAACAGGGCCCTGACTCTGACCCAGTGACCCTGAACTGTCAGCCAATCAAAACAGGGCCTTCTGTGGCATGTTTTCTATGGGGACTGATGAGGAGTGATGTAATCGTTAGACACGGCAACCTTCCTCTCCATCATCTTCATCTGCAGCTATGCCTGTCACAAAACTAGTTTAAACAACTATAAAAAAAGAGATAGGACCCTCGTGCATCAATACAATTATTACATGATAAAGTGATAAAAGTGACTTACAAGACGGTCAGCGTGGAAAGAAGGGACCACATTGCTTCCCCCCTCCACTATGGAACTTGTCCCAGAGACAGTCTCCTCGCTCGGTCTAAGCCAGTCCGACAGTCCAGAGAGTTTCCTCCTGTGTTGTGAATCCGCTCGATGTTGTGCAGAGTCAAAGAGTCAGCGGACACTCCCGTTGGCATCGGCGGCGGCGTGCCCCGGTTCTCCCGGCGTGCGTAAATGTGCGGGCGCGGGCAATGTGGGGTATGAGGCCGGGGTAACTGTGCCACTGTGACCGCCGGGCAACCTCTAACAGCTGTCCAGAGTGGCGGAGAGACGGATGGGCGGGGAAGAAAAGGGGGGAGGTTAGGGCTTAAAAGGCTGCGCGTCCCCGACAAGGAGAGGAACAGGTGAAAGCGCGCTCGCGCGTCACAGATAACCAATTCCAATCGACCTTGTTGCCCCTCAGGGGGATGCTCAGCCCTGTGAGGAAGATGCAGTGCGTGCGTAATCCAATGCGTAATGTTTCAGCGCAAGAGCAGGCTTCTGGTCACCAAAATTAATTATGGAGCCGGTGAGGTGATACAAAAATTGGTAGAGTGTTTGTTCCGGCACCGACAGGAGTAGCAGGCAGGTTTAGTACCAGCAGAGCAGGGTCAGGAGCTGTTGGAGGTGGGCTACCTGGGATGGCTGATGGAGCAAACCGTGAACTGAAAACGGGGGCTCTGCGGGCGCAGGGTAATGCAGGGCCTCGGTCATGACTGCGCCCCCACGCTGGCTCAACGGGTCTGTGGCTCAGGTGACACCGAACAACAGTGTCCGACAGAGAAGGTGATAACGTCCCAGAGCGGTCCAGCTCAGAGGGGTATGGGAAGATCTGAATGAAAATGGGAGGGATAATACAGGGGGGAAAAGGACGAGCGAGGGAGGGAGGGGTGGCTGTAGAGGATGGGAACAGCTGTGACTGGGTGGCGGACCCGCGACACGGCGAGGAAATGACAGCCGCACTTTGCACCTGATTTTGCGGACTTCCCCGCTTGCCTCAGCCGCTGGTTACCGCTTGGCTGCAGAAGTCCTCTCTGCGCCCTCTCGACACAATACCAGCCCAAACACAGCACGATGACATCACCTCCAAAATGTTTGAAGGGGGAAAATGCAATCCGACCTTTTTATTTATTTTTTTAAAGGTAGAAAGTTTAAGCGTTTCTCTGTAGGGGGAAAACACGAAAGTCTCTTCTTTCCGAGAAAAGCCAACTCCGCGGTGCAAGAGGAGAGGAGTCGAGCTCACCAGTTTCTGAAGAAATAAAAGTTAAAACGTGCGCACTGGAAACGTGTTTACACCAAATCAGATCGACTCTCAGTCCCGAACCTGCATCGTCCCTCTTCCCCTTATATTTCCCTCCCTGTTTCAATCAGACACCAGAGGAGAAAATGCAAGAGAGAACCCAGCCGTGCGGTTTTATCCACTTCACTGGTATTATGCAGATCCTTCTTCCTCTCAAAAATGTCAAGGTTTCCTTCCATAAAAAGCTCTTCTTGAGGGGGGCTGCACATGAGAGGTGCGTCGGCAGGCACAGACCTCACTCCAAGAAAAACCAGAACAAGATTTTAACAGACGCGGATCAATCCTCCCTCCTCTCCTCACTCCCTCCCACCTCTCTCTCTCTCTTGCTCCCTTTCTCTGCCTCACACACATGCACACTTATTGGATCAAAATGGAATTAGTCAGTCGTTATGCGATGCTGACCCAACTTACACTGCAAAAATATACATTTTTATCAGTAAAAAATATCTGCTAATGAGGTGAGATAATTGCACTTGTTTGCAATGCAAAGCAAATGGCTTCTATACTTTTCACGAATTAGGCAATTTTCTTTTGGACATTTGTGTTATTCTGCTAATCCCTCTTATATTTGTTTGTGGACATATCTAAAACACGAAAATGCATAGAAAATAATTCGAATGTTTTCACTATATCGAGAGGAATTAATTAGTTTGAAGATTTTGAAGTGGATTTCAGCATGTCTGACAGAAAGAGAGAGTGGCAAAGACTTTCTCTGATTGTTTAATAAAGTTTGTGAGATCTCCACAAAACAAAGACACCTGCCTCGGCCAGGTGAACATCTGTCTTAAACCAATGGGGAGTTCTCGTCCTGCATTATCTCCCCTTAAGATAACCTCAACTCTGCAGCCTCAGTGGCCCCGGACTCAGGATGGAGGGTGGATGGCAGTGTGCCATCCACCCTCACATACACACACATACACAAACACACATCCTTCAGAGCTGCCGCGCTTTCAAGTGATGTATTTTGACTCCCTATTTCATAACTTTTAAGTTAAACCTTAAGAGGGAAAAATGAAACGGAGAATGAGAGACAGTCGGGAGAACGGTATGTAAGCACGGACAGGGATCCAAAACGAACATTTCTCAGGGATTTCGGCAGCAACGCCCGCTCTGCGCTCCCAAAACTCCCTCTCACCACCGCACAACCGCAGACGGTCAGCCAAGCCAACACAACACTCCTGCCATACCTTATTTTCACACACACGCACACCTACACGCACACACACGCGGGCGCGCGCGCGCTCGCACACTTATATACACACACACAGGAGTGCACGTAGAGAGAATCGAGGGAAAGTGAGTACATTTGTGCGTGTATGTGTGTAGAGGTGGGAGGGGGTTGGCCTCATCAGGGACAGTTATTTTGGCTCCAACTGTAGGGCTATTCTTTTCAACATTGTACTTTCAAAACACACACACACACACACACACACACACACACACACACACACACACACACTTCTACAACTGGACGGGGTTGAGCAGGGCTGGGTAGGGGTACTGTGGTTGAATGCCTTTCCAGTCATGCTCCATAGACAGGCCTCTGGCCTTTTTTCCTACTACTGGCTCTCTCTGTCTTTGCACCTGTGTCTGGGTGCTTTTTCGCTGCTCACCGCACTGCTGCAAGGGACACGAGTGTAAATGTTGTGGAGAGGGATTTGAACCACATTCTGGTGATGAGGAATGAGGCCCGTCTGGTACTCTTAAGCCCAGATGGAAGGGTTCAGAGCAGGGACTACAGCACATCTTGGTACAATGGTGAAGTAAGAAAAAGCAGATAGAAGAGCTCAACTCCATTCACATACTGTGCATGAAAGCCTGATCTAACAATAGTGGATTTGTAGATAGTAGATATTCCAAATGGATTGCTGAGATGATCTTACTCCCATTGTAAATTTGTAAAAAATGCATGTTACACAAAGATATCACTAAGATTACATGGTTTTGGTTACAATACATCTGGAGTCACAGACAGTTATAATAACACATTATTCATAGCTCAAGTGTAAGCTGTAGCAGCAAGTCTTAGAAAAGAAATAGCTTGCTCCCTGGGTTTGGAAATTACATTTCATGTACCAAAAAATTTAGGGAGGGGGGGCTTTCTTCCTCTCTCTCTCTCCTTCTGTCACATCGCTCTCTCTCATTCATTTTCTGTCCTCCCTATCTGTCTCTTTAATCTCCCCGGCTGTTTTTTATCTGCTCACTCTGTCCCTCCCTCTGTTTGCAGCGAGCATATTGATTGCCCATGTCTTTGCCTCTGCAGCTCCTGCCTATTGATCCTTGCCTAAGACACACAGACACACAAACACACACACGTACACAAAAACTTGTGTGCATACACATCCTCACATACACGGATGTCCCCTTCCCGTTTCTCCGCACTCAAAAAATCGTACTTTCATGCAGACCAACTTTGACAGACACAATATTCATAAATGCACATGTGCATGCATTCACGTGTTCACAAACACACACAAAGAGACACACAACAGGACACCTATTTTTTTGCATATACCCTCTGTTGTATTGAATAGAGTTGGCATTGATGGACGTTATGCCTTTGTGCTCCTCTCTCGACTCATTAAAGTGAATGAGAGCCTTGTGTGTGTGTGTGTGTGTGTGTGTGTGTGTGTGTGTGTGTGTGTGTGT